TTAATGTTATTGCTTTTGCATAATAATTCCGTAAAAACTTATATAACGCCTTTAATTGTGATTTCTTCCATATAGATTTCTTAGAGAACAAATAAGTAATTATAACGATGCTAGTATAGAAATAAGTGAAGTTAGCGTATTAAATGATATAATTGCGTTTTCATTATTGGAAGACAAATATACTCATCGACCGAGTTTTTCCGAAGAAAACCCAGTGGTCACGCTCGGCGGCGCCTATCGAATTTTTTATTAGAATAAGAATTGACCACGATAATTATTCATTATTTGCAAACGAGGAGTACGGCACAATTACGTCGTTCGCCGTCAAGCATAGTTGAATTGCTATTGCTACCGTAATTCAGTTAGTGGCATACAGATTTTGCATAAAACTATTGTGCAAGATTACTAATCACGTCCTCTTTCATTGAAAACTCGAGTTTTTCAATTTTTTTGCATGACGTACCTGGATTCGAATTAAGGCAGATGATTGTGGGAAGAAGGAATCATGTTCCAATATATTAGCGATAAAGTTCTAACTAACAAAAACTTAAACCAGAATTAGATTTAATTATCAAACTTATTTATAGAATATATTATTAAATATTTTCTTCAGAATCGAAGAATGTTCAAGTACAAATTGCTCCTAGTTAAACTTCCATTTTTTTCTTTGTTCGAATAGCAATCAGAACTAAAGGGTTTCATAAGCTGTTTTGATGATATTTCCTAACTACGTAGCTTTTCAGAAAGCAACTCAACTGTTGGCCTACCTTTATGCAATATATTTATATTATTACATTTTCTTTGATAGTGATGATTTTTAGTTTGCAGCAATGGAAACATATTCCCACCTATATTTTTAAAAAAATGTGTTCGAAAGTCTTTTCATTTTATTATATTGGCCATGAAGGTGACAACCTTCAGGGCATTAAACTTTACACGTTGCTAACCCTGGTAGAGGGGGTACGGAGTGTTTTAATTGAACTAGTTGTTCACTTCTAAAAGTAAAGCCCGCGAAATAACATGTTTAATAAATAACCAATAAATATATCTTCTTTCATTATAACTTAATAACAAACCAGTGATTGTAATAATAACTGCAGCAAATACATAATATACAAACAAATCAGTGTTTAATACAGTCCACAGCTACAAGGGTTAAATTATAACCCAACAACCTGAATTATCGAAGGAGAGTTTTAATAAATTTCATAAGTACGTAACATAATTACAAAATGATTGAAATCTTTTAGGAAAGAAAACCATAAAATATGTAACAAGACCAGATAAATCAAATGTAGAACTTAGATAGTTGTTAAGATAGTAAATAAACTATGTGGGTAGGGTAGAGCGGGGTTTAAAGGTCCGCTGGTAAAAAGGTCCTCCACCGATATCTTGATAAAAATTAAAATTAAATTTAATAACAATATTTGAAAGTAGAGGGAAAAGGATATATAACCAGTCATCACCTTGATTCTTACGACATTGCTATAGGGAGATAAACGGCATTATTTGAAAATCCATGACAAAAGTATTTTCTTTCCTTGTTAGTTTTCTTGGTTGTGAGCACTGTGGTTTAGTTAACGAGACCTTATATTATTTTTAAGTTTACGTTATTCAATTATTGTTATATATTGTTAATTTTAAATTAGATTCAACAGTTTGTTAGTATAACCTTAATAAAAGCTTACACTGGGGTAGAAAGGACCTTACAGATCCTTAACTAGCAAAGGTATAAACAATAAGAAACTGTGAATAAAAAAGTTAAATAAGTAAAACAAGCAATTTTTCAGCGTCATCTTTGTAAAAAATGTACCCATGAAATTTATATTTTACATTGGTTGAATAATGTAGCTATTACTAAAATCCTTTTAAAATAAAAATAAGATATTGGACCTGTTTGCCCTCTGGCCGCCTATGGAGTAAAAAGCACCAAATGACAAGTTTTTGAAAAACAGCAAATAATACATATTTCTACAATGATTAATTAGCTGGGAGTTTTAATGAATATAGTCAGATAGTTGTTTGTTTGACATGTGTTATTTTTTGTTTAATTCCTAAAATAAATTACAAAGTTACAGTAAAGCAAAACAGAAAGTTTCAGTTATTTATTGTTTACCCGATACTTGGAATTATAAAGTTACATTTTTATAATATTTTATTGTTTTATACATTTCTAGATTATCTACAATTCATTTATTTCCACTTTAATATTAGAACTGTTCGTATAGCTCAATAACAAATTTATTGAACTAAAAAGTCAAATTTTAAATTATAATTTTAAATAAATTGTAATGTTCAATTATTACAAAGAAGATAATCAGAAAACTTGAGTCATTTTGTGAAACCGATATTTGAATGCTAGAATTATATATTTATCATTTCTTTATTACTTTGTACATTTCGCTTTCTAACCTAGTCCACAACTCATTCAATATCATTTCATTTTTATCACAATCTTTTTCCATCTCGACCAACTCTTCATTTTGCTTAGTTAATAACTCGAAAAATTTTGATGGTTTCGGGCTGCCTCCCTTACTAGAAAATTCTTCATATTGATTGTAGCAAGTACAAACAGTATCAACCTCTTTTCTTGTACTTTCAACGTTGTTAGCGAATTCCTGCGCAACAAAATCCATGTTGGAAGCAAGTAAAATTATTAATCAGCTTTGCGAACCTCTCCACACTATATTTAAAAATTATAATACACTATAGTTTATAATTGAACACAATCAAATATCACATTAAATTGTTTATCATTTTCTATCAATCGTTTGTTGGAAGCGTAATAGAAAGTATGAAGATGATTAACGTGGGTGCAAAAAGTAAATGTTTGTCGATGACGACAAAAAAACTTCATTTGTGTTTTGATATTAAAGCTGGAAAGTGAAATTGACATACATTTTAAATTTAAAATATATGCATTTAAACATTTGTTTGTTACCATGCTCTGTTCATGCCACGTTCTCACACTAATTTTGTATTAATTGTTTTAGATAAACATTATTAATAATCGGCTTAATTTTGTATTTAAAAATTATTGAATTTTTTTTTCACGAATCAATATCAATTGCGTTTCAGACTTGAATAAATGTAAATAAAATTTGATAGCGTTTATAAAAATAAACCATGTTTGGTTTATGTCATTTTAATTTGAGAAGTTTAATGATACCGCGAAAAATTTTGAATATTTATTTTGTAAAATTTTGATTTAATTGTTTTTATTGTGTTTATAAAACATTTGAACATATCAGCACACTGTAATATTGGAGGTTTTGTCATCAAATATACATACATAATAGATATAGGAATATGATTATTAATCAAAACTTCAGATAGTAGTTTTAAAAGTACATAGTTTTATATGATATAATACAAGTTGTATGAAAAACAGAACCAAATATTGCCAACATTAAAATATATGAAATATTTATAGCTTAATATAATATATTATATTTGGATATCAGTAACTAGAAGCATTCTCAATTTAGCTAATTTATTTATACAGTATATATTGCAGATAAAAGTAGTAAATATATATATATATATATATATATATATATATATATATATATATATATATATATATATATATATATATATAATTTTTTACCGTGAGAACTTTTTGTATTTATGGCTGAATTCTGATAAACTAATCATATTTATGTAAATCAAATTATATTAGAATTTCTCTATCATTTTCTCACAGATATGTACAGTATTTCAAATCCATATAATCGTTCAAGTTGCAATACTTTGAACTAATGTATTTTTTGAAAATGCAATTAAAAACATTTTAAACTAATGTACTTCCGCAGTACTTAAATTCACTTTTTTATTTGTACAATTTTAACAGTCGAATAAATTGAATATTTAATTTATAATTATTTTATTCGTTTACTTTCATATAATTTCTTTTCAATATCCGGACGTCAATCGGCGTGTCGATTAAATATCAATAACTTGCTGCGATGTAATTATTAGTCAATTATCTTCTGGATAATTTTAATTATATAATTGTTTGTTTTTAATTAATAAAATTAAAATTTAAAATTATTTATTAAATTTTATTAATATAATATAATATAAATTCAGTATAGATGTTTTTGTTATTTGTTTTCGCGCGATATTTCAGATTCGACATTTAAATAAAAACTAATTTTCTATTAAAATTGTTGATATTGCCAAATTTGCACGCTACAGCAACAAATTTGTTAATTTTTCTATAAAGCAACACCATACTTTTATGGTGTTGATAATACAAATATCATTAATAACTGAATTGAAATAAGTGGTTTACAGAACAAATATTTACATTGATCTGACAAGAAGACATAATAATATGTATCAAACAAAAGGAAGGAAAGTTTCTAACAACCTTGAAAATGATCATTATCATAAAAGCTGTTATGTCGTTTTTGAATGCCGTCGGTTCGTGCGAAAGGTTATGGACTAAGATGAAAATTGGTACGAAGACTTTTTATTTGGAGAAAGTCGTAAAGCGATGTATAATTTAGATGATATATCGAATATATTGCTGATTATGCATATGCGCTCATTCAAACATAGGCGTGTAATCATATTTGTCATTTCACATTTCCGACAATGAGTACAGCTTTATTATATTTCTTGAATAAAATTTGATAGAAGATATGATTCCATCTATTTAAAAAATTATGTCAAAACTATGTATTTATTATCAAGTACAAACACATTTCAAAAACAAAATTATTAAACAATGTTATTATCAAGAAAACTTATGTATTTTTCCTTACGCTAATTAAAATTCTATGTGCGACAACTTTCATATGATACGCAACGATATGCACTAGATAGAAAATCTAGAATCACGTTCTGAAGCGACTGGATGCATTTTATGCAACATAATTATTTCAAATATCTAATTCGTGTATCAGGTCACAAGAAATAAAAATGTGCCGGATTTTCTTTCTATGGTGAATATTTATAGTTTTACTTACTGTTTTCCTTATTTCTCTTTACAGTTTGTGCAACAAAATTTTGTGGATCCGACGCGACAGCTGTCTACGACGCAACAGGGTCATATTTTGAGCGATATACAACAACACCAACATAGATTCGCGCAACATCAACAATTACAACAGCAGGCGAAACCATTGCATCAACAGTTGCCAGGTTTGCAGCCCGTTAATCAACAACTATCATTGCCTCAACAAAGTCGTTCTATACCAGGATCACCCATTCAAATCACCCCATCGCAACAGGTAGTATTTCCGTCAGCTCCCAGTCAGTATTTGCACGACCAACAAAGTCAAAACAGTTTCCGTGCTAGTGTGCCACTGACACAAAATCAAGTGCACCAACATCATACACAAACTGCATTTACCCCAAACTATATTCAGCAGCAACAGTTATTACAACAACAACGTCAGCATCAACAGCCGCAACCGATACAACAAACAAGACCATTGCCGCCGATTCAACAACCTCATCATATTCCACAAATTCAACAACAATACCAGCATATAAATCAGCAGCAACAATATCAAATTCAGCAGCAATCGAAACAAATTATTCCAACTCAAGCTCAGCCTCATATACCACAACAAATATTATCATCGCAAATTCCACAGTTACCATCACTTTCTCCGCAGATTCCGTCTCAAATTCCATCTCAAATTCCAACTCAAGTACCATCCCAAGTTCCTTCAACTCAATCGCAAGGTTTGCTTAGCCAACCGACTCTACGATATCACCCAACATCTGATTCAGTATTCACGCCAGATCAAAATTTGCAATTTCAGCAACAGCAATTTATTGAAAATCAAAGACAACAACAAAGAGCCAAAGAATTAAGAGAAAAGCAATTAATAATAAAAAAACACGAGGAATTTGTGGCCAAGCAACAACAAAAGCAGCTGCAAAAAGTACAACAACTTCATCAAGAATTTGTAGAGAAAGAGTTGAAAAAGCAAGCTCCATTGTATCAAACACAATATCCCGAATTTGTTGAGCCCACAATTTCCCAGTCAAATTTAAAAAGCAAACCTGTTCAAACATCTCATGATTTAGAAGCATTCCAAAAAGCATTGAAAATTTATAATGATTTACATCCCACCACAACAACTACTACCACTACTACTACAACAACAACCACCACAACGCCACCCCCACCTACAACTGTGAGAACTAGGCCACCGAAAATAACTAGAGCTCCCAAACAACAACGTGCATCACCTTCTTCAATATCTTCCCGTGGAAAACTCAGGGAACAAGCTGACGATCCTGATGTATTTATGGAAAGTCAACAACGAAAGCAAATTTACTCTCAAATCAGACATACTGTGCAACAAGATACAAGCAAGGAATCCACCGAAAGAGTTATTAAGCAAAAAGTACCGAAGTTATATGAACGAGAAGATCTCTTGAAGCAATTAAAGTTGGCTATAGGGGACAATCCCACTGATAGCTTGAAACCGACTGAAGTAGTTTTACCAAACGGTCAACGTGTACAAGTAATACCTACGACTGATCCAAAATTAGTTCAAGGTGCTATACCTCTTTCAACAGATATTACAAAAATTAAAACAACACAACCGAGCACTACAGCTAAGCCAAGCAGAGAAATTTTCGAAGAGTTAACAAAGGGTGTATTGCCTCCAGGTGCTGAATATCAAGTTATTCATCAAAGCGGCGATGGTAAATTGGAAGAAGTCGGTGCCTTGCCACAAAATATTCCAAATAAAAAACCCGTGACATTTGTTGTTTTGGAGGAACAAGAAGACGGATCGTTTAAAGTACAAGGTGTTCGAGGAAATGGAGATAAAAAAGAATTAACTTCAGGCCCCGAATATGAAGCAGTTCTCCAAAGGATAAAAGACGGTGAAATTAAGTTACCAGAAGGTGCTAAGCCTCTGACAACGACGACTACAACGACCACGACAACAACGGTTAAACCAACAACTTATCGTAATAGATTCTCCATATCAACTAGAAGGCCCGAACATGTTACTTATCGTAAATATGAAACTGACAGCACGTCCGCCTCTCACAGAGAGCCAATTTTCAGGCCTAATCCAACGATAGTGTCAACTACAACTAACAATACACCAGCACGTAAGGTATTTCTGCCAACCGCTCCATCTGCAGACCCTTCACCGTACTCAACATTACCAAGCGTCCAATCCACAGCAAATTCACCTCATTATTATGATGTTGTAAGTGGCATATCAAGCACAATTTTACCACCCACCACTAGACCAAGGGTCACTCCATCATCAGAGCAATATGTAAGACCTAGTGAAAGCTCAACGCATAAATCATATTCACATAGAATTCCAGAATTAACAGAAGTTCTCAAAAATGAAGGATTATTTGCAATGTCAAGATACCTGAAGCAATCAGGATTGGATACTATTTTAAACGAAACTGGTCCGTATACAGTATTTGCGCCGACGGATAAAGCGTTCAGGAACCTATTAGTACAACTTGGCGGTCCAGAAAAAGCTGAAGAAAAGTTCAAGAGCAATCCTAGACTACTCAGTGGAGTAAGTTTAGTTTAAATATATTATGAAAGATAGGATTTGATATGTTATATATAATGGTAATAACAATGTTAAATTTGTTATTTTAGCTGCTGTTGCATCATATCATTCCTGGTGCATTTGAGATTGAATCATTGCAAGACGAAATGACTGGAGTTTCTTTAGCTGGCACCCAACTTCGAGTCAATCAATATCCAATGCATGACAATGAGTGGAACGATGTTAAGGTGAGAGTGATTTCAGACATAAAATATTTTGTATACAAGAAAAATTTTATCATCACTTGAGTTTTTCTGTTTGATAATAGGTTACCACAATCAACGGCGCGAAAATAGTTGCTGAAAAACAGGATATTGGTATACCTCAAGGCATTGCCCATGCTTTAGATCAAGTCATGTTCCCTCTACCAGTAGGTGATATAATGCAAACCTTACAAACTGACAGGGAACAAAGGTTTACACATTTCATTAGGGCATTGTACGCGAGTGGCCTGGCGGAAATGCTGTCAGGTAGTTCCCAAATTTATTAGAATGATATTAATTATATTTAAATAAATTCATAGTCGATATTTATTTGAATAGTCAGATTTAATTATGATTAAACATTGAAAGATTTTTAACATAATCCGCATGTATTTTACGATTGAATTTTAAATTACATTCTATATGTTAAGTTCCTGAAATTGAAAGAACGACTGAAATGATACAGTTTGTTTAAAAAGCTTTCTATTATTATTATTAATGCGCAAAGTCCAATGTGCATGATTGATAACCAAAGGCACTAACCAAATTTTTTTTCTGTTATATTGTAAATACGTTTATTATTTTTAGTACTTTTTTATTTTTTTGAACATCAATCTGAACTATAAATTTCTATATTTTTTATATTAGATTTTTTATCTAATACTGTTGATCCAATAACAATTAGGCAATGCTCTCGAAAGGCTATTTTTAATGTCAAATGTTAGACTGCAATCTCAAGTGACAATCTGATATCACTACTGATTGATATTACTCTGTCCGAGATGGTTATTGGAATATGATCCGGAATTTTATTCCCATGATTATTTCTTTAACATTGAAAAATAGGTGTGTCATAATCTAGATTTTTCGTACTACATATTTATCATAGTGTGCTATAAATATTGACAATGTGATCTCCTATGTACATGCTTAGACTCTACGACATTTATGAGCCACTACTCTTGTTCTTGTAACAAAAGTTGATAGTGTAGTCAGTAAATATATTCTGCTCCAATGTCTATAAAGTAATCATATAAAAATATTTTTTAACTCTTTAAATTGGATATATCAATATAAAACTATATAAATATTATTTTTAAGAGTTACTTTAAATATTATTTTAAATATTTTATTGTAAGTGTAAGTCATAATATTTTTAAAAAATAATAAAATGTAATTATAAGTCACTTTGAAAATAGCTATATAATCTATTTTTAACAATTTTCGATTTCAAATAATGTGAAATAATATGAAAGATGTAATCATGAAGAACTAATGATATTTGGAAATCCGCTTAAAAACTTTAAAGGAACCGGCTGAATTTACTCCACTAAGAATTATAACAGTAGAATTTATGCATTTGGAACGAATGCAGTCTGTTTTTTATATCCGATGGACAGTAACAACTATCCAGGTCATTTATGCGCAGACTTGTTGCTGAGGTTTTACTTTCAATTTTATCCGGATTGCATTCAACCAACATTAATGACTTGTTTCCACGTCCAAAAAATTATTATCAATATAAGTCAGAAATGGTAACTTTAATTTCTCGAAAATAAACTATTATTCCTAGCTAATTAGTATTTGTCAGATATCTAATTTTGATTTTTATTGAGATCATAAGAATTGTAAGCGAATTAAATTTCATCTTTGTTTATCGATACATTTTATTTATTTTGTTCCAATTATAAAGCTCTATCATTTGCATTTCTCTAAGGAAAATCTATTTTGATATTGTGCTATGAAATATAGAGAAAATTTCATTTATTATATTCAGAACACGTTTGGCAGAGCGTACAAACAATACTAATAAAACCGTTTAATGGGTTTATTTTCCTAAATTATTACAAATCCATGTATCATAAAAATATTCTGATTCTATCTATATTTATGCAACTAGTCCAACAACCGGTATTGCAACATGACCGACTGCGATGTTCCATGAAATTTATTATATTAATCTAGTCGCATTTTCAAATTGTGCAATATTTCTAATAATAGCGTGAGAATATTTTCATATGTGTTATTTTCATTTGAAAGATGTATCCTTCATCAATCAAGACTGCCAATCTGTCATAGCAATATTGAGATCTGAAAAATTTACTGTTTTACATACATACACACAAACAAGATTTATTTACTATAAATAAAGTGTATTTTTATATGTATGATATATAAATATATATATATATATATATACATATATATATATATATATGTATATATACATATACATACATACATATTTGTGCGCTTTTCAGGATTATAATTAATATTTGTGTGTCATGTTCTCATAAGGTTCATGCAAGATTAGATTACATAGAAATTTTCACTGAAATCTCTTGTCAGATTCTTACTGCATTTTGTTAGATTCTTGCCGGCACATTTTCAGATTCTTATTAGATTCGAACAAAATGCTTGTTAGTTTCTTATAAGATTTTCACCACATTTTCGTTAGATCCATTATGAGTTTTTTCCAAAATTCCCCAATTTTTTGGCTGAACCTTTAGACTCTCTTATCAAGATATTCAATGTATTTTGATTTCTTAATTCGCACAATCCATTCGAGAAATGGTAATAAAATACTAGTTTTCCTCTATTTCTATTAGTCATTATTAACACGCTATAAGGCTATAGAAACATGATTAAAGATGTCAAATAGTGAAGAAAAAATGTGACAAACAGTGAATAATCATGCCCTCTATAATTATATCTTTACGTTATTGATGTTCTTTTATTTTCGAAATAAAATTTAGTTAGTATATATTTTTCATGACTAATTCTCCTTTTGTGGAATAAATAAATTATTAATGTTTGAGGACCCCCCGTAGCTACGCCCCTGATAATTATTGAATCAATAAATGAATATTTATTACAATGAAAAATCTTGTTTGTTAGTTTCATCTTGTGTGTACAAATCATTATACTGATATTTTTTATTTATTAATTTAGAATTGATTTTTACACAATAGCCATTTAATATATCCAAATTATCTAAGTTTTACAAATTGATGTAAATCCATATAATTATATTTTCAATTATAAATTACTAAGCATAATAGAAAATATTATTTTTCTTACTTTGTGCAATATGATATAATGTTTTTCTATAATTTTTTATACACTATCATTCTATGCTCTAAGGAACTCGTGGAGCTTTCTCGCCATGATCACAAATCTCATTGCCTATTATTTTAAATAAATGGCTTTGGAAATTTCCATGATTGCACCTCTTACTGTAAAATGGAAAAACCATGGTAAATATCTATCTGATTTCTGGACGTTCTTGAATTTTTTACATAGATATTTATTTACAACCATAAATGCCAAGAACATTACTAGTCTACAGCTTTTCCTAAATATTAGCACCTGGTGTCTTATATCGCATATTTTTAATCATTTATTAGTTCGAAAATAGCAAGTCTCTGAATGATTTCAATAAATTTCCATACTTGATCGTTAAACTTAATAAAGATGCGTTCCAGATTTAGCTCTTACAAGTTACGATACTGATATCGTTTTATTATCACATAAAATATAACGATTACCATCGACACTCATGCAGAAAATGTTCATGTAAATCGTCTTGTAAAGGTCTTAGATAAATGATATAAAACAGTCATTTTATTCGTGATGTATATAACGTCTCATTTTATGATTGGTTTCAAATCACTTATAAATTATAGTTGGTAATCGCTTGTTTATTTATTATATTTTGAAATATTCGCATTGGCGAAAGATATAAATAATTAATAATTAATAATTTATCAGTGTTGGAACACATTTGTATGTAAACTAACTAAAGGAAAACGAAACTAAAAGACATAATACTTTTCATTGAATTACCGTACCCCACCGTGATTTTAACTAGGTGCAAGTGGCAGTATGCCTTAATTCAAGATACGCAAACTTTCTTAAATATGTAAATAATTGCCTTTAAGAAATAAATATAATTTTTTGTGAGTCAATTGTAAGTATGGAGAATTCTGTAGGCATGAAAAAGTGAGATACTTATGCAAATTATTTAATTTTGTACAAATAACTATAACATGTTGTTATAGTTTAAATATTACATTATATTTTCATAATTGATTTTTGTAATTAAACCTCTTTTTGTAGGCTGCTAATATTATGTATTGTAATTACGACCAGGAACTCTATCATTAAAAACGCCAAAAAGTTTTATAACAATCATATTACAATTTGCCATTAACTAACCAGCACAATTCCCAAATAATTTTTTTTAAATAGTTTTTAAAATTTAAAAGTTGATTCAAATTTTTTTACAAAAACTCGGATGAAAATGTATGCGCTTTTTCAACTTTTAAAAGGGGTAGGGCGAGGCCCAAAGGTCCACTTTGACTTTGAGCAATTATATTATGAATACCAAACTAATTATATCACAACAAATAACACATATCAAACAAATAACTATCTGACTATGTTCAGTCCAAATCCCAGCTAATTCATCACTGTAGAAATATGGTTTTTTATTTGCTGTTTTTCATACATTGTTACCTGGTGTCTTTTACACCATGAGTGGGGTAAATTGGGACGGCCAAGGGGCAAACAGGTACAATACCTTATTTTAGTTTCAAAGAAGTTTTTTAAAATAATAGCTACATTATCCAACCAATGCAAAATATAAATTAATGGGTGCAATTTTTACGGATATAACACTGAAAATCAATCAATCAATTCAATCAATTGTCAGGAATATTCATCAGCAGAGTTGGAATAACTATTTACTATTTAATTTATCTATTTTAAAATTGCCTTTTTTAACTTAATTTATTTTTTTATTTGCTTTTTTTATTTTGTACATCTTTTCCAGGGTTCAGTTGGTCCTGTAAATAATCTTGAAAGTCAATCGTCAGAAATATTCATCAGCAGAGTTGGAATAACTATTTATTTAATTTATCTCTTTTAAAATTGCTTTTTTAACTTAATTAACGTTTTTATTTGCTTTTTTTTATTTTTTACATCTTTTCCAGAGGTTCAGTTCGTCCTTTTTGTCCTACCCTCGTGTAAGCTTTAATAGAGGTTATATAAAAAAACTGTTAAGTCTAACCTTATACTTCATATAAAACAATTAAATAACGTATTCTTAAAAATTACATTAAGGTCTCGTGGATCAGTGCTCACAACCAAGACAAATAAAAACGGAAGAAAATAGTTTTATTATAGATTTTCAAACATTGCAGTTTTTGTCGTGATGCATACATTTTATTCCCCCTACTTTCAAATATTGTTGTCAAAAGTTTTTTAATTTTACTGGTTTTTGAGATACCGGTGAAGGACTTTTTTACCCGCGTACCTTTAAGCCTCGCTCGACCTTATTGCTTCCCTTTTGGTAACTTAGAAATTTAAATATTGATGTTTTAATTTTTTTATATAATACTAGCAAACCCAGCGAACTCCGTTTCCGTTGAAATTTTTTTTCAATTTTCTTTGCTATAAACCTCACGGAGTCCGAGACCTTTCCAACGAATGCAAAATTGTCGAAATCGGTTTGTGCGTTCTGGAGTTATATCGTCAGGAAGGAAACCCCGACTTATTTTTATATAATAGACTATATACTACAGAGTTCGATGATTTATTTTACTATTTTTCAAGCATCTTTTAATTTCAATATTTTTTCATTAGGTACAAAGACGTACACGGTGTTTGCACCAACTGATTCGGCGTTCACGTCAGCATTGGAACCAGATGAAATCCAAAGGATAGTCACTGATCCCACGGAAGCCAGAGATCTGGTAACCCGGCACATTTCCTCATCGGCGCTTTTCAGTTCCGGAATGAGGTACTACCAAGTCCGGGACAGTTTGGCGGAAGGAAGGGCCATTACGCTCCAAAGAAACGGCGGTGAGTTAAAGATTCCAATTGATTTAATACCAAAGTATAATTTAGATTTGTAAAATTAACTAAATACTACATATTTTTATATATTAAGGAAATATGTACCATTTTTTTTTATTTATTTCTTATAACCAATCTGAACCTTGGATTCAATGAGGTTATTTGCTGACGGGTACAGGGCTTATAGAAATTCCTTCAGTGGGGAATTTTCTTACATTAATATATTGATTGTTAATTTATTAAATCTTGCGGCCACTTTCTTCTTAATCTTCTCATAGGTACATATTTTAGTAGGTCTTTATTAGAGTGTTTGGATGGTATGCGCTCTTTTGATGATATACCAATTTTAAAACAATTTTTTTAACATCCCATAGTATAAATTTTAGTATCGCAAAAAATCAAAAATGAAAAATTTTATATCTATTTACGTGTCAGTGGTTTTTGAACGTTTTGGCATACCTTAGAAAAAAATGGATGTATGTGTGTGTGTGTGTGCGGATACAAATTTTTATCAACGATTTCGGGAATAAGGATCAACTACTTTGAATGATTTAAAAACAGTCGATTCATATTAATAAGGAGACGTGCTGGTTAGTTTTAGGATGAAGCAGGTGTGCAGCCCTTGCGAAGATACAGGGCAAATATGCCAAAAATGTTAACTCAGTTTTTGAGAGATCGGAGCGTCCGATTTCAATGATTACAAAAACAATTTACTTGTACTGGCAAAATGAAAAAAATGATTAAGTTTTTGGAAAGGCAGGTTTAGCGGTTTCGATGATCGAGTAATAAAAGTGAAAAAATGCCACTTGAAGGCCACTTGAAGCATTAATTTGCTTTGAAGGCACGATGCCTTGCACTACTATTTTTTGAGCAATATATATCCATATCTCAGTAGTAGTATATCCATATCTACTATTTCATATATATCCATATCTCAGACAGACAAGGGTGCCTGATATAAGAGATTATGGATTGCTTTTTACATTTATGCCTATACATATATATTTATCTATTTCATATTACTACATTTTAAAATATCACATTTATATAAGAAATTAAGTGTAAGAGTCATATTTAACTAATAAGGTCAATCTTGTTTATATTTGGTATAGTTTTCTAATTCTGTTTTAAATTTGAGTTTAAGTTGATATCAAGTTGGTTTTATAACAGGTATTAGCTGAGAAAATAATCGTGTTAATTGCACTTTCAAAATCTGATCTTGATTATAGAATCAACATCATGTTATAAGGATTTTTTGCAACATTTTTTTAATTCCGCCCACAATGCAAGCTGTTAAAATATTGTATTCCTGAATAATTATTGAAATGATGTCTTACAGTGAATATGAATGTTCAGTGTTAAAATGATTCATTAGCGTAGTTATTCTATGAAGAAATTGCACAAAATGTTTATATATTATATTTCCAAATATATGCTCGTAATTTGCTAAGTTGCGAATTATGGCGGTTTTAGATTTATTTCTCACCAATCAGATTTATCTTATTATCTTCTCATCAACTAGATTTATTTCTCATCAATCATGTTAATAATATACTGGGTCACATTTAATATATAATAAACTTAATCATAAAATATGTATATATATAAATATATATATATATATATATATATATATATACATTATATTCATATTATTATTAACTTGCATATCAGCCCGCAGCATACAATATTCTGCTAGTTACGACCTATATATCGAAATTTCAATTTCAATTCATCATTAATATTACAGCAATGCAATTAATTATTGGATACATGAAAAATCTTAATTGTAAGTGTTATGGACGTAACGCATTCTATTTCATTCGATTATTTAATTGAAAATAATTATTTATAATTATCGTGGATCTTCCCATCATCGATTGTCAATATCGATATCGATGAATTAATGATTGTAGTGTATCAGCACGTTTGTATATATATATATATATATATATATATATATATATATATACATATATATATATATATATATATATATAATATATATGTATGCATGGGTGTGTGTATAGAATCTTATAAAATGCTCCGAATGCCGTGGGATTTTCCATTATCAGGGCAACAAAGAAATTACTTATTATACCAATGGAAAACTATCTTTGCGAAATAAAAAAGTGATAGAAATTTGATTAAATTTGTTGAAAAAAAAACAATCAGCCCGTGTTTTAGAGGTAGTGTAGAGCGGGGCTTAAAGGTCCGCGGGGCTTAAAGTCTACCACCAATATCTCAAAAATCAGTGAAGTTAGGAATTTGTTAACAACAATATTTGAAAGTAGAAGAAAAAATATTTATAACCAGACATCACATTGATTTTAACGATGTGGCTATAAGGGAACAAATGGCAATGTTTGATCTATAACAAACATATTTTCTTGTGTTGTTAGTTTTTTGGTGCTCACACTGCTGTTTAGTTCACAAGATCTCAATATAATTTTTAAGTATACGTTATTTAATTATTTTATAAAATGTGTTGTTAATTTTAAGTTAGTTTCATCAGTTTTTTTTATATAAAACCCCCGGGTGAGGTAAACAGGACCATCTGAGTCTTTACTAAAAATCAACAAATAAAAAAGTAAATTAAGTTAAAAAAAGCAATTTTAAAGCGATATATTAAATAAATAATTATTCCAAATCTCCTGAAGAATCAAGATAATCAGAAAATTTTCTCTGTTAAAATGCATCCATAAAATTTATATTTATACTTTTTATTGCGATACAAATAAAGAGATTTGCAGTTGTTGAAATCTTCGCTTTATACTTACTTTCTTATATAAGGCATCAGGTTGTAATAGTAAAAATAAATTTAGGCTATTTTTGAATCAAGTAATAATGTATTCTGACATTAGCAATATTCCATATACGATTACGTTTATGGAATATTACCATAAAAGTACGTACGGAATCCGTTTACTATCTTATCTTCTTGCCGCTCGTTGATGATATAGCAATTCGATCTAAATAATCTTCTGTAATTTTATTGATATTTCTAAACCGGTATTTATCTTTTATCGTGTGGGTTGCATAATTCTATTAAACTACCATTCTTCGGCTGCTACTTTCAAATGGAACCCCTTCACTGATATCTCACCGAGACCATAATGTATACATGCGAATACATTGCCTATAGTTTATCAACCGATTATTATCTTTTTAGAATGTGCACGCTCGGTCCGCGGTGCGCACCCGCGACGTCCATTGTTCGAATGTGCACATCCGCCATAAAAGCATCGAAACCAGTGGAGGGTTTGTGTTTGAAGTTGGAGAGGGTCGAATCCAAGATAATTTCTAATCCTTACTAGTGGGGCGTATGGCATCTATTTTACATTTTACAAATTATTTTTTTTAGAATATTAACATTTTTGGAAAAAAATGCTCTGAAAAAATTAGATTTTTGAAAAACTATAAATTTTTGTCAAAAATTTACTTTTTTTTTGAAAAAAAAAACACTTTTTGGAGAAAAGTTTATTTTGAAATATTTTGGAAATTCTGAAATTTATTTGAAAGCAATCGTACTGCTTTAACTGCATAGAGACGAAATATCGAAGCGCGTAAGCGTCGCGTCGCCGTCTAACGGATAAACATTGGTACGGAACCTATAGGATGTAAACAAAATTTATACTTATTGTTAAAATCTCTATAAAATATCTGATAATTTGATGTGCATATGTCTAATGATCATTTTTGACCGCCAAATGGCATTTTTTTTTACTTTTTTTTCTAGATCACCGAAACCGCTAGACCTGCCTTCATGAAAATTTGTTCAGTTCTTTATCTTGTTAATACAAGTAAAATGTTTTTTGAATTATTCGGACGCTCCGTTCTCTTAAAAACTGAGTTACCGTTTTTGGCACTTTTTGCCCCATATCTTCGGAACGGATAGACCTGCCTTTGCGAAAAACTAATCAGCAACTCTCCTTATCAATACGAATCGAATGTTTTTTTAATTATTCAAATCGCTTCATCCGTGTTCTCGAAATCGTCGACAAAAATTTGTATCCGCAAACACACATACACGCACATACAAACACGCACACACGCACGTACATCCATTTTTTCTAAGGTATGCCAAAATGTTCAGAAGGTTTTGAAACGTAAAGATATATATAAATTTTCGGTTTCGATTTTTTTTTGCGATTACTATGCCTTACGAGAAGTTAAAAATTAGAAAGCATCCATTAATAACGGATCGATTTTTTAAGGATTTTTGAACCCCTTTGGTGATTTATGGTGATATTCATTATTCCCCCTCCCCTCCTCCACTAAACATCACGTGTATTTTTAGTTACGAGAAAAAATGGTAAAATTTTTATTTTTTTTTGAAAATGTTCGGATTTAAAAAAAAATCAGGTAAAAAATAAATTACGTGCTATTTTACTATACCCCTTCCTCCCCTACGTGATATTTTGTGATTCTTTGTCAAAACACTCCTTTCTCTAAAAACCTCAAGTGATTAATGGACACCCCCTTAGTAAATGCGAAGAAATCGAGAAACAATCATAATCTTTAAAAAACATAAATATAAATGAGAAATTTTATTTAAATATTTTAATAAAATATTTTTCATAATATTAGAAAAGTTTAAATTTTAATTGATTAAATTCCAAACTTTAGTCGTACCAATTATTTAGCCAATTTGAACATACGGTGTACAATTATTAAGATCAGCTTCCAAATCAAACTTGACAAAAATTTCAAGATATCAAAATAAATTACTAAAATACGTTTTGAACGCCCCAAAATATGTATCAAATAGATTAATGCATGAAGACACCGACATTAACACAATAAAAAATGAAAATCGAACGCATCCAAACTCACTTAGCAGAGTACTACGCCAAAACACTTCCTATATGGCAAGATTGAAAAAAATCATGTTACATTAATATCTGTCAACAGTCATATGATTTTGTATTTTTAAAGTAATCCTATACTTTTACTTATTGTCTGTTTCAGGACAGGTGTAAAAATTACTATATAATAAACAAATT